TTTAATCATCTAGAAAACCTCTGGTTTACACAAAGGCCTTTCATTCAGGGAACTTGATGACAGCTACTGACCCCTTCCCTCCCCCCCCCTTTGCCACTATTAGGAATTATCCAACTGGCAGACTGTGAGGTTGCTCTCTCACCAATAGGATGAGACAAGGTCATCCATCACCTGTGTTAGAATAACAAGTGAGCTTCCTGCCCTACTGTGCTTGCAAAGCTAATTTAGGTTTTGGCACACTCTTTTTACAAAGAGGCATTGCCTTGCAGGGTTCCAGTGAGCTTGTTTTGTTTTGTGACACTGAGAATAATTTCCAACAAGGTCCTCCCCGATATGCTGCAGTCTGGGTTTGTTTGCAGAACATGCAGTTATAACATTAGCCTGCCAAGCTCACACTTTGGAGAATCGCTATAGTGTTCCATATTCAAGAGCACAGGAATGGATACTTATCAAGGACAGACCTGAATTTAGTGACCTGGCAGCACCACATATGACTAATAACTTGCCTTCTTTGCCACCATATGGGACCCTTTGCCCTTGTATGTAACAGGAAGCCTGTCCTAGGTTTTAAATCCAATCAGAGCTCATTGTGAGACCCTGAATAAACTTGACTTCTTCCCACCAAGCCTCCAAATATTGGTTTTTGGGTGGCAAGCAGACAAAAAAGTGAAAGTGACAGTAAAAAAAATGTTAGCACATCAGTATGTGTGTATTGTTGTTATGTGTGGCACACATGTACCAGGGTGTGCACGTGGAGGTTAGAGGACAACTTTCAGTTCTCTTCCACCACGTGGCAGCCAGGCTTACATTGTGTGTGTGTGTGTGTGTGTTGTTGTTGTTGTTGTTGTTGTTGTTGGATGTGAGTATGAATGACTGCCATGGCACACACATGGCCAGAGGAAATCTACAACAGTTGGTTCTCTTCCACCATGTGATATCCAGGCTTACATTACGTGTGTGTGTGTGTGTGTGTGTGTGTGTGTGTGTGTGTGTTGTTATTGTTGTTGTTGTTGTAGGTATGTGAGGATTAATGTCTGCCATGGCACACACAAGGTCAGAGGAAATCCACAGGAGTTGTTCTCCTTCATTGTGTACATCCCAGAGACTGAACTCAGGTCAGCAGGTGTGACAGCACACCTTTACTCATTCAGCCTGCTAAGCTACCTCACTGGCTTTACTAAATATAAACAGTCTTTCTTGAGCTTTAAGGAACCTAGGACATCTGATGAACTTTGGATAACATCAGGAGTAAAGCCTTTCCTTAGTTCTGTGCATAAACCATCACAAAGCATGTAAGTTACCATGAGGTTTAACCTGTAGAAGATGATAAGCCTCTATTAAGAAAATCCAGGGGAGTGGGAGAGATGTCTCGGTGCCAAAGAGCATGTTCTGCTCTCCCTGGGGATCTGATTTCAATTCCTAGCACCCACGTCACATGGCTCACAACCACATGTAAACTCAGCTCCAAGGGATGATACACACTTCTGGCCTTGGTAACTGTACTCACATGCATGTACAAACTCCCTGTGTCTCTCTCTTTTTGCTAGACAGGGTTTCCTTGTAGCTTTGGAGCCTATCCTGGAACTTGCTCTATAGACCAGATTTCAAACTCACAGAGATCCACCTGTCTCCTCTTCCCGAGTGCTGGGGTTAAAGGCATTTGCCACCACCTCCCAGCTCGCTCGCTCGCTCTCTCTCTCTCTCTCTCTCTCTCCCTCTCTCTCTCTCTCTCTCTCCCTCCCTCTCTCTCAGAAAACACAGGAACTAATCTGTAGAATATTCCTTTACACTGTGTGAATGTATGTCACTGTGATTGGTTTAATAAGGAAGCTGACTGGCCAATAGCTGAACAGATAAGTTGGGGGCAAGCCAAACTGAGAATGCTGGGAGGAAGGAAGGTGGAGTTTGAGAAATAGCAAGCAGACAGAGAGAAACAAGATGGGCATGCCATGGTGAAAAAAGGTACCAAGGTATGTGGCAAAGTGTAGTTAAGAAATATGGCTTAGGGGGCTGGAGAGATGGCTCAGTGGTTAAGAGCACTGCCTGCTCTTCCAAAGGTCCTGAGTTCAATTCCCAGCAACCACATGGTGGCTCACAATCTTCTGTAATGAGGTCTGGTGCCCTCTTCTGGCCTGCAGACATACACACAGACAGAATATTGTATACATAATAAATAAATGTTTAAAAAAAAGAAATATGGCTTAATTTAAATGTAAGAGTTAGCTAGTTAACAAGCCTGAGCTATTGACCAAGCATTTATAATCAATATTAAGCCTCTGTATGGTTACTTGGGAGCAGCTTTCAGGAGAGAAACTTCTGTCAACACTAATCAGGAAGCTGAGACTGATTGGAATGATCACCACAGGGAAGATACAGAGACCACACCCTGGATAAGCTCACCAAAGATGGAGTCTTGAAGACAATAGCCCCTTCATGTCCTAAACCAACTCTTGGCTCCTAAATACTGGCTGTTGAGTGGCAAATTGTGTCTGCTAAAGATAAGCCTTGGGTTGAACCCTGAACCTGTAGAATTCTATGGATGAAAGTTGACTTTCTAGTTTATATTCAATGGCATGATTTTCTCTGGGCTACTGTCCACCACTCTGACACAGGAAGTTCTTCTGTACATGTGTTGCTTTTATTGGTTAATGAATAAAGAAATTGCTTTGGGCCTAGAGCAGGGCAGAACAGAGCTAGGTAGGGAAAACTAAATTGAATGCTGGGAGAAAGGTAGAGTCAGAGAGAAGTCATGTAGCCCCGCCAGAGTAAGATGCTGGACAGATCCTTGCCGGTTAGCCACAGCCACATAGTGATACACAGATTAATAGAAATGGATTAAATTAAGATGTAAGAGCTAGCCACTAAGAGGCTAGAGCTAATTGGCCAGTGATTTAATTAATACAGTTTCTGTGTGGTTATTTCGGGGCTGAGCAGCAGGGAACAAGCGGCCTCTTTACACCACTCCTTCTAACAACATACACAAACCACTAAGAGACAGTCCATGAATGGAAAGGGCAGACGTTGTCACTTCCCAAACTCCACAGCTGTCCAGCTCTAGGAAAGGCCTCAGGACAAACAGCTTACATTTCTAAAAGGCCATAGAGGACCATTGAGATGTTCAGTGTATGAGCTGACTATGCAGGACTGATGACCTGGGCTGGGTCCTACTCAGAACCCAGGGTGGAGATTCAATTCCTGACACCATCCTCTGACCTCCTCACGTATACAAACACATCACACACACACACACACACAGCAATAACAAATTCTAAAAGAGCTTAGCTGGGAGGCTGAACATCCAGAGTCCAAACTCCAGCTATGCCAACTAACCTTGTGAATTAGACAAGCAATCTTCCTCCTCTGAGCACCAAGGCCCTTCATCTGCCCTGCATTTAAGCTGTTAACAGGCTCATGGCTGCTTCTCAGGAAAATTCTTATTCCCTTTTTACCTTCTCCTTTCCTGGTTTCTAAGTATTGCAGGTAAGCTGAAGTTCATTCATTCATCTTTCTTAATGAATCACCAAAAGGGGGTATATATGGAAAAAAATAGAGATGATGTAACTTCCTGTTTACCTTACTTCCTAAAGGTTTGTTACATTCCCTCCCCACCAAAAAGGAGAGGAAACTGTTGGCTTTATGGGGGTCACTTAGGGGGGTGGGGGTGCTGAGGACTGAACCTAGAACCACACACACAGCAGGCAAGCCTCAACCACGGAACTATAACACCAGCCTCACTATTTTTTGGTTTGTTTTGTGGGATTTGGGGGGGGGGGTTTTGGTTGGTTTGGGTTTGGTTTTTTTGTTTGTTTATTTGTTTGTTTTGGGGGGGTTGTTTTGTTTTATTCAAGACAGAGCTTCTCTGTGTAGTTTTGGCTGCCCTGGAACTCACTCTATAGACCAAGCTGAACTCAAACTCAGAGAGATCCACTTGCCCCTGCCTCCCTAGTACTAGGATTAAAGGTGTGTGCCACCAAAGCCCAGCTCACTATTTTAACATGGAAAAATAAGTTCTGGAAGAAATTGCAAACGTTAAAAATTGTCAGGAAGATCATTTGAACCCCAGTAAAATCTGCCCAAATTGCAAATTATGCCTTCAAAAGTTTCACACTACTGACAGTGCCCATATAAAATTTAAAAATGAGTTGTGTGGGAGATGTATGTTGTTCTGGTGGAAGCTTCACCCCAGCCCCTGGCATCCATATACCCAAAGAGTCTGGGACGAACTGGTGGAAGCTCTACCCCAAGTCCCCTCCCCCATCTTTCTCCAAACCCTACTGCATCTCAGAAAGCCCACCAAGCGATGACTCCCTCCACCAGAGTTGCTCAAGGCCACTCCCACAGGGTATTTAAACTGCCCTCCAGAAAATAGACTTGTAGTTTTCCAGTCTCTCTTTTCTGTCTCTGCCTGGAAAATCATTCAGGAGCATTTTACCCATTAAACCTGGGCTTTTTATAGCTGTTTGATTTGGTCTGATTTAGATTACAGGATTTGATGACATTTTCTAACCTATGTCAAAGGGTGGGAACCACCAGCAAGAACCAAGAACCACTTGACCAAAGAGAGTAGAGAGTTAAGAAAAAAGAAAAGCAGGCCAGCACGATGGCTGAAGTAAAGGCGCTTGATGCCAGGCTTGAAGACCTGAGGTCAGTCCCTAGAAAGCCTTATGGTTCTGATACATACACACACACACACACACACACACACATGAGCTGTCTCCCCCACACCCACTCCCCACGGCCCTCCCTCTTACACAAGTAAGTGCAGTTTTAAAACAGAAGAAAGAAGGGGCTAGAGAGACAGCTTAGTAGTTAGGAGCACTATGCTTCTTCCAGAGGCCCCGAGTTCAGTTCCCATCACCCATGCTGTGCAGCTCACAGCCTCCTAAAACTCCAAAGGATTCATTCAATGCCCTCTTCTGGCCTCAGGAGGCATCTGCACACATGCACGCATGCACGCATGCACACACAAACACACACACTTTTAAAAAGGGGAGGAAAACGAAAAAACAAAACAAGTAAGTGTATTTTTTGTTCTGCAGGACATTTTTCCTGAAATGGTGACTCTGGCACCAGTTTCAGCTTCCCTCCCTTTATACCCTAAATAACCCCAAGTTTTTTAAACAGACCCTGAGGCTAGGTCACAGGGTAATTAGTAGTGTTTCTGCCACATGTCCCAGTTTCAGATGTCAGCTGCCAAAGGGCAGACCCTCGGGACCTGCCTTCACTGTGTGCCCACTGCCACAGTCACAGGAAGCCTCCTCCCTGCAGGAGGAAGGGCTTTGCCGCCTCCAGTATGTCCAGCTTGGGATCCAGCGAGCGGCCGAGCCCCTCCAGCACCATGATGGCGAACACAATGGAGGCAAAGTTGCTCTCGAGCTTGACCTGGAACAGAGAACAGAGTCAGCTGAGCATCCTGGACAACCATGCCACTGACCCCCTCACCTCCCCTGTGTTGCCCATGGGTTTCTACCGTCTCCCCACCTTCCTCCTAGCAGTCAGGAGGATACACTGGGGCTTCAAGTGGCACCAAGAACAAGGGTACATCCCTCACCTGAGCACCATTAACACCAAGGAGGGCAAGGAGGGGATATCTGGCTGGACCCTTTCTCCCTTTCCATGTTTTTTTTTTTTTTCTGTGTCCTAGAACTAGTGTAGACCGGCCTCTGCCTCCCAAGTGCTGGGATTAAAGGCGTTCGCCACCACCGCCTGGCCCCTTTCCATGTCTTTAAATACATTTTCCTATATCTAAGGATTACAGCACTTAGACTCACTACATAGATTGACAAATCCAGGGACTTTGTTCTCAAGGGACCATGAGGCCACTGGGCCTGCTTCAGAAGATTAAAAATTCACAATCAACATACAAAAAAGCTGAGGGAAATCAGGTGCAGCCACTCCACTGCCCTGTGCCCTCCCCACCTCTTCCCAAGATTCTCTCTAATGACACCTCACCTTGTGGGTCATCAGTAGCTTAAAGACACTGGAGAGGAGGCTGGAAACATGAAGCTGGAAAACAAAAGAGCCCAGTGAATCCGGGAAGCACTTCTTCCCCTCCCTTCCCCTGTCCTTTCCCACTTCCCCGCTCCCCACTGTTTATACTCATATGTATGCACACACTGAGAGAAAGGGGCTACCCAAGGAACCGCTGCCAGAGAAAGACGTGCTGAAACTTTGCTGGTAGGCCACGACCTCGTGGTGATGCACAGATTAATATAAATGGGTTAAATTAAGATGTAAGAGTTAGCAAATAAGAAGCTCTGAGCTAATGGGTCAAGCAGAGATTTAAATAATATAGTTTTCTGTGTGGTTATTTCGGGGTTGAGCAGGAACCAACAAGCGGGCTCTTACAACAAATTGGCACCCATGTGGCCAACTAAATCTATGTAAAACCTGAGAAAGCTTAAAAAGGAATCCTAGACACAAAAGAACAGAGTTAAGCATGGTTTGGTAGCAGCATTTTCTTGGGTGGGCTGTTTGCTAGAAGCAAGCAGAGGCATGCCTCCTTTAAGAGGTTTTCCTGATTCAGCGGTAGCAGAAAAAGGGTGCACTGTTTTGAAACCACGATTTCCTGGGCTGTGCTGCCAGTGCAAACTCTGAGGAGGTCTGGCTATGGCGCATTTAAATGGGTTTTGTGAGCAGAGTGCTACAACCGCCTAACGGCTCAACATAGACCCGCTGCGTACATGGAGCTGGGGCAGTGTGCACAGCGTGCAGCAGCGGTGAACAGACTTCTGCCATGTTGCAGTATGTGCAGAAAGCAGACAGGGCCATATATACCCTCGTAATGCCACAGCTTAAGCTTTTAAGAAGTGTTTAGCATTTTAAGAGCTCCTGGACAGAAAATAATTATAGATACACAATAAAGACAGATTCAGATAAAAAAAAAAGATCTCTAAATCAGTCACAGTGTTGGATAAATAATCAAAGGCTTGGAAGAGAGAAGAAAAAGAGTAAAAAAAAAGACAGTAAATATAATATAAAAGACTACAGACAGAAATAGATTAAAGGAGTAAAGATAATAAAATAAATATTAAACTTTTAGAAAAAGTAAAATAAGCTATATAAAGATAGAATGTACATAGAGAGTCTGGATTACGTATATATATTAAACTTGTAGAAAAAGTAAAATAAGCTATGTAAAGATAGAATGTACATAGAGAGTCTGGATTACGTATATTATTGTGTTTTTCTTTGAATTTTTTGAATGCAGAGAGACATTTGATTCTGGGGATTGCTAAGCTATAACAACATATATACTTTAAAGGTATCTTATTTTCAAAATTTGAGTCTAAGGATATGTTACTTTGGAAAAGAGGTTTTTCTTTTGTTTCCACAAAGGATGAGAACCTGTGAATTAATTCCAGACTAATGTGGTTTGATGGACCAAGACTCCCTGAAAGGTGGCCTTGAACATCCCTCAAAAATTATTTCGTCCAAAAAAAAGCAGGAAGCAGTTTGGAGAGAACTACACCCATATTCCCAAAAATTGTTTATAAATGTTTAATTTTTTAATATTTATTTTATTTACTATGCATACAATATTCTGTCTGTGTGTATGTCTGCAGGCCAGAAGAGGGCACCAGACTTCATTTACAGATGATTGTGAGCCACCATGTAGTTGCCAGGAATTGAACTCAGGACCTTTGGAAGAGCAGGCAATGCTCTTAACCACTGAGCCATCTCTCTAGCCCCATGTTTGTTTAAATTTAAAGGGGGATATGCTATAGAGATTTTCACTGATATGGATCTTGGTTTATTGATACAAATTTAAGGTCAATTTTGTTATATGTATATTTCTGCTCTTGATTAAGGTATTATGTTTGTGCAGCCCATTTAAAAATATAATGTATAATTAAGAAATACAGGTTAATAGTCAAGCTTGTAGTCATGTTAGTTAGATTTTCTAGATGAACAGAGATATATTTCAGATGGATAAGCATTCTTAAAATCTTCCAAAGACTACAGAATATGGCATTTAAATGTTTTAATAACTTAGAACTTTTCATGACAATGAGACACATTTGCTCCTGGCAGCACCAATTACTTCAAGAGGATGATAGGCACTGAAGAGGCTTCTTATGGTGTTTGTTAGCCATTTGGGCAAGAAACTGCTCTTGCCTGGACTGCTTGATGAACTGGATATGTAGGACCCACAGAGAAATGACTTGCCTAAAGGTGAGATGGTCCTTCGGGGTTCCTGCTTCATGAAAGAGTCTGCCAGACATTCTGCAGGACACAGAAGAAAGTGACTGACAAACTGCCAATATATGCAGGACTGTCTTTGAAATTTCCTGCTTCATGGAAAAGTATGCCAGATACTATGGGCCTATAGGCTGAAGATGGATGCCCCAATGGTACAGAAAAACCTTGGGTAAATGTCCAGGCAGCAAGATGTCTCTATCAATTCTAGAGTTTTGGAAGTTGCTTACAACGTACTTCCTGTTTACTTAGGTAATATTATATCCTTCTGCGGTCTTTGATGGAGTTGAAGAATTGATAGTTATAGTTTTCCTTAGTTATAAAGTAGATATAAATATTGTAACTATAATTTTTGCTTGATACCTGTTTTGTTATATGTAATTTTACTATGTTAAAGTTAAAACCTTCCTTTTCATTTAAACAGAAAAGGGGAGGTGATGTGGGATTCCCTTCTGCATGTTGTGAATACCATTGATTAATAAAGAAACTGCTTTGAACCTATAGCAAGAAAGAACTTAGCTAGACAGGGAAAACTAAACTGAATGCTGGGAAAAAGGAGGTGGAGTCAGGGAGAAGTCAAAGAGTCCTGCCAGAAACAGACATGCTGAAACTTTAGCCAGTAAGCCACAGCCACGTGGTGATACACAGATTAATAGAAATGGGTTAAATTAATATGTAAGCGTTAGCCAATAAGAAGCTAGAGCTAATGGGCCAAGCAGTGATTTAAATAATATAGTTTTCTGTGTGATTATTTTGGGGCTGAGCAACTAGGAAGCGATAAGCAGCTTCCTTATAACACCAATCAGGCTCCACTACCATATTGGTCACAAATGCCTGCAAAAGAAGCCTCAGAGCCATGTTCACTCCATCCTTCTCCCCATCCCTCGTCACACTCAGAACATTCCCAAGTAAACAGATGAGGGTGTAGCTCAGTAGCAGAGACATGCCTGGTGTAGACATGAGTTGAGGCATGCATGTGTGTGAGTGTGCATGCGCGGGTGTGCATGCATGCATGCACATGTGTGTATGTGATTAGTAACCATCTACATAAACCAGGTCAGCATCACTGGTGGCCACTCTATGAGGGCTGTCCTGCTAATGTAGGCCATCAACTTGACAAAGATAGCAAGTTAACAAAGCATGAGTACACCACGCACTCTGGGTCAGGCAAAACAAGGGGCACAGGCTCATGGTACATCTCTGGGACGCTGCCTCCCCTACATGTGTAGGTGTCTCCACAACATCTAATCCCTGAATAAAGCAGGGATTCTGCCAGCAAGGAGCCTATGATTTCAGTCAGTCCCTTGAGCTTCTTAGAAGATGTGAGAACAATACATATTTTTTTTTTAACCTGCTTCAAAAACTCTACCGCCTGCAGGGCAGTGGTAGTACACGTCTTTAATCTCAGTACTTAGGAGGCAGAGGCAGGCAGATCTCTGAGTTCCAGGCTAGCCTAGTCTGCAAAGCAAGTTCCAGGACAGTCAGGGCTACACCGAAAAAAAACACCCATCTCAACTCCACCCCCAAAAAACCTACTCTTTGCAGGCTCCCTATGAAGTGGACCCTCGTGTGAGCTCGGCTCTGCCCACACAGTGCCTACCTACCTTCTCCAGTGTGAGAGTGTTCTTCCTGGCCTGGGTCACCAGTGTAGCCATCTCAGCCTTGAACCTCTCCACATCCTTGCACTCATTGGCCCGGGCATGATGCAGGATGAGCTCAGCTACTCTGTGGCCCTGGAGGTACACAAGAAAAGTGGCTTGGAGAGCAGAGCAGGCACATGGTGCTCTTGTCCTCAAAGTGTCCTCTGCCCATCCTGCGCACGCCATGTCTCATGCTCACCTGCACTCACACACACATAACACACAAAATAATAAATAAAAAATTCTTAAAGCTAGCGTCCTGTCCCGACCATGCCAACAATTTTGCTGAGAGTAAGAGAAACTGGAGTCCCACAATGCAGGAAAGAAGAATGACTTCCCAACTAAGGGTGCCAACCTTAAGCTGCCAAGCCTGAGAACCAGCACATTGTCAGTGCCCACACACACTCACTCGTGTCCAACCACAGCATCCTGGCAACCATGGGCTTTCTAAAGGGCCAACCCCAGTGAGTCTCACCTGCCCCAGTGCTACAGCCAGGAAAACTGCCCGGAAATTCCTCAGGTCTGAAGCCTGCAACTCTGACACAATGCCAGCATCCAACAACACCAGGCGCAGGGGGCACAGGGCAGGTGCTATGGTAGTCACCAGTGTGTCATGGACATTCACCTGCTGCTGTTGAGTCTCCAGGCTTGGGGACAATCCATCAGCACCCTGGACCAGGATGTTCCCAGGGTGAAGGTCTCCATGCACAAAGTTATCCACAAATATCTGGAAGAGACTGCACCAGTCAGGTCTGAGTCCACCCTCCCGGCCTAGCACCACTGGGAACCTGCAGAAAAGGTTTTAGGGGATGGCAGGCTGCCAGTGACAAGTCACAGGGGCGGGCATTCCACAAGCCCTTGCAGCTAGGGGCTCTTAAACAAGAATTTGCACAGGGATAAGCCATGTCAAAGGTTTGGTTCTGTGTGATTTGGGTTTTAATTTTATAACACAGGGTTTCTCATGTAGCCCAGCCTGGTCCTAGACTAAGAAATCCTCCTGCCTCCAGTTCTCAAGTGCTAGAAGATCAGGGACAGAGATTCAAGGTCCTGCCTCAACTGTCCCTCCCTGTCCCCAGGTAGTAGGTGATAGAACTAACATCTGGATCATCTAGATTCAGATAATACCTGATCAATTCTGCTCCAGATAGCTCAAATGTGCCTCCAATCCCTGAAGTATCAATTCTGCTCCAGATAGCTCAAATGTGCCTCCAATCCCTGAAGTATCAGTGTGGCTTTGACACCACCGGACAGTCCTTCTACACTCCGAGTTCTTTCTCAGAACCAAAGCAACAGTTTCAAACCTCCTGTCTCCCCTGCCTTCACCCCACTCATCAGGAGACAACCTCAGCTCCTGACCAGCCAGGCAAAAACCTCTGGATGCCCCCACACTTACTTCCCCTCCCTCGATCCCCAGGGATTCCAAGTACTATCCTATATGGCCCAAGTGTTTGAGAGCATCCATAGCCTTTTTTCATACTCCTGGTTCCAGACACATCCCAGTCCTAGCTCTAACAGTTAAGTAAGTCCCCAGACTGAGCAGGCACTTCCTGGTGGTTAGAGGCACCACTGAGATCCCCTGCTGCCTGGTAGAAGACAGAACCCCTCCAGATGAGGCCCTCTGCCATTCCTCCTCCTCATCTGGATGGACAGGCACGAGATAGAAAAGTTCACTCAGGGCTTCCCAGATGAGAGACCCAAACATATTATAGAATCAACATTAACCCAGTGTGCTAGTACACTTGAGCCATAGCACGTGGGTGGGAGAGAAACTAGGATCAGGAGTTCCAAAGCCGTCCTCAGCTACACAGCAAGTTCAAGCCTGTAGAGGCCCAAAGAGGCCAAAGTCAGAGAGTTTGGGACTTGTTCATTCAAGGTTATTGTGCTTCTACCTCCAGACAAAGGTCCCACCTAGTTGTAAATCAGAGTTCTGTTCGCCAGGGTTAACAGCCACAGATGTGGCTAATTGCCAGACCTTGTGCTCCTGGAATAGGGAAGTAGTTGGTTCCAACCTCAAACTTAAGTCTAAGGATCCAACTAAGTTCCAGTTCCCTTCATGGAAATAACTTGGGATCCACCCAGGGAGTGGTTTGCCTACAGAGTGTTTGGTCTAGAGCGTGAACCTAGGGCGTGAGAGATGAATGTAGTCCCTGACTTACAATTTCTATGTGAATGCAACCTTTTGTTTTACTCCTACCTTTTGGGGCCAGGGGTATATTAACCAGTTGGAAATTAAACAGGGGTGAATTTTCAGTATTCACTAAGACAGAGAAACCCTGTCTCGAAAAACCAAAAAAAAAAAAAAAAAAAAAAAAGAACAGTATTCACTAAGAAATTCTCTCCTGATACTATCCTACATGTGTCTGTGTTTTATTATTTTCATTTGCGTCTTCATATTCTCTACTATATTTCTAAATGCCCACGCCTCCAGTTCTGGAGAAAGCTATTTTGGTCGAGGCTGGCCCCCGACATGAGACCCTGTCTCAAAAAAGAAAATGAAATCACCATTTGCCTCTGGCTCCTCCACAACAGTACCCAGCTCCCTGCCTCACCTCGGTCCTCGAGCCCAACTCCACGCTGAAGCTCTGCCACGGCTGGCTGATCTCTCTGCCTCACATCCTTCCACTGCCTGCATCAGGACTAAGGGATGGGTTTTTTAAATTCATTATAAGCCAGTAAGATAGTTCAGTAGGTAAAGGTGCTTGCCACCAAGCCTGAGCACTTGAGTTTGACCCACAGGGTCTACGTGATGGACAGAGGACTGGTTCCTGTATGTTGTCCTTTGACTCCCATGCACACGCAGGGGCATGTCCAGGTTCATGCATACACACACTAAAAAGGGTGGCTCAGGATTAAGAGCACCAGCTGCTCTCCCAGGGAACCTGGGTTGGAGGCCCAGCACCCACACGGCAGCCCGCAGCCGTCTGTAACTCCAGCTCCAGGTTAGTTAATGTCCTCTCCTGGCTTCCTGGGCACCAGGCAAACTTTTAGAAACATGCAAACTTTAAAATACACTTAAGACCTGTATACTTGCCAGGCACGGTGGCCCATAAACCTTAAATAGTGGAGGCAGAGGCTTAATGTGAGTTTGAGGTCACCCTGGTCTCTATAATGTTTCAACTCACTCTAGGATATACAGAAAGAACCTGTCTCAACTTAATTATATGTGTGCATGTGGGGGGCGGGCATACTTCAGCAAATATTATAATAATGAAAGCTGAAATATTTTGGGGGGATGAGAACTCAGATGAGCTCCATGCCCATGGACTGAGGTCCTGACTCTGAGCTATTCTGCACGATGTGCGTTCACGTCTCCCAGCACACACACCCTGGGCACAGGCTGCTGTCTCTAGACAAGTCCCACCATTTGTCTTCATGTTGGTGACACAGCCTCCCCATCCCAGATGGGGTAGAATCACTTCCTGAGTGAAGCCCAGGGTCCACAAAAGGTCCCTTCAAGCTCATCCTTGAGCACAGGCCCCCAATGGCATGTGCTTCTTCCCACTGGTTTACCCCGTAGTCAGGCCTGTTTTACAAGTCCAACACTTAACTCAGCACTTGGCATACAGCAGGACTCCACAAATACCAAATGACTGAATGACTGAATGAATGAAGCAGTATCTAACACACCTGCAGTATCATACCTGCTGTTGGTCTACACTGTGCCCCTACCACTCTTGCCATAGCACATGAATGCACACCACAGATCAAGGGCTCAGCACAAGCTTCGGGTCACAGGAGCGTTTGGGGGACTTCACTCAGCTGATGTTCTCAACCTGCCGCTCTCTACTTGGCTGGCCCTTCCAGCCGATGCCTGGCAGAGCCCTCATCTGCCCGTGTACTGAACCTCAACATCCGGGGCCTCCAGCTCACCATCTTCAAAAGCATGTTGATCCCCAGCTGTGCAATCCTCCTCTTCAGGTCGTCAGGGATTCCTGCCTGCTGGTAGCTGGACACCGGAACACTCTCCTTAGAGACAGCAGGAAGACAGCTTTAACCCGCTGGCCATGTCACTCTTCCTCAGACAGCAAGAGGACCCAGAAGCTGATCCGAGAACCCCTATAAATCTGCCACGAACACAGTGGTTTTAATCTATGTCCTTCATTTACTTCTCAAAAGGAATGCCCAAGGGTTTGCAGCCATTGACTCAGCTACTAACAGGAAAGAGATGCTTGGAGCCCTGGGAAAAGACAGGAGCAAGTGCTGAGAGCGAGCCAAGTGTCAGGGGCGTGGTGGGAGGCAGAGGCAGGAAGGACAGCGGTGAAAGGTCGTCGTTGGCTACACAGAAAGTTTAAGACCAACCTGGAATGTGTAAGACTGTCTCAAAGCAAACTAAAACAAGAAAGAAATCATCCAACAGAGACGGGCTGGAGCTCCAGCAGGAAAGGACAGGAGAGCCAGAAGAATGGACAATCAGCAAATCAACACTTGGTTCCCTTTGTCAAGGCAATCCACTGAGACGGAGCATAATTTTACTTAGAAAGCCCAGCGAGCCTAAGAGCGGGCTCAGAGCTATGCAGCTAGGAAACAAGCCCCTGGATGCCATCACCGCTTCCTAACGAGACAGGTCTAGGGGGCAGCTAAGGCAAATGCTTGCTGAACACTTCCTCTGTCAAACACATTTCCCTGGGACAGTGCCATGAGGTTACCACCTAATAGGACAGCTGAGTAAGTTTCCAATTCTAGAAGCCTGAGGCTACCTGCAGCTCTCGGGACCAGCTCACTCCATTCCGCCTCTTCCTCCGGCTCCTCCCAGAGTTTAGGCGCACAGTAGGCTCATTTTTTGCAGACCCCAAGACCTTGCACTTGCTGGGCAAGGCCTCTACCACTCTCAACCCTCTCCCAGTTTTCATATGAGAAGCACATCCTCTCTCCATCATGAAGCCTCTGTGGGGACAGCCAGCTATGAGTGACAGCAGAACCAGGTTCTTACTTCATATGTTTCCACCAGTATATCCCTCGTGATGAGGGGGTGCAGCGGGGTGGGGAATTTCACAGATGTCATATTCTCAAAGTTGTGCTGAAAGTGCTCTAGATTCCGAGCTTCATAACGCAGGTCTATCTGCAGAGTCGGAGGAAAGAAGAGTTAGCGTGGACACAGGGAACACCTCTGAGGTGCTGGGAGTACCAGGTCAGCACGGTCCCCTTCCTTCTTTCCTCACCAGCTTCCCTGGCTGCACCAGGAACCTCAGAGAAGACACACCAGCTAGCCCACAGCTGCCACAAAAGCAGAAAAACACCCATTATCCCATGAACTCCTCCATGGCAGACCAGATCCCAGGATGAGATCTGGGCCCCCTTCGCAGCAGCTGCTGGATGTCCATCTGACTCCACGGCTCTTTTTAGTGCCCCCAGTGCCCGACTAGCCTAGCCCACTTGCCCTCTCCTTCCATTATGACCAATGTGCTGCATTTACTTCCACACAGGGACGGCCTTGCCCTCAACCTACTGGAGCAACTGCCACAGCTGAATGCCCAGCCCATTTATTTTTATTTGTTTTTTAGATTTTTCGAGACAGGGTTTCTCTGTAGCTTTGGAGCCTGTCCTGGAACTAACTCTTGTAGACCAGGCTGGCCTCGAACTCACAGAGATCCACCTGCCTCTGCCTCCCAAGTGCTGGGATTAAAGGCATGTGCCACCACTACCCAGTTGCCCAGCCCTAGTTATATTTTAATAAACTTCCCAACCTTTCTCCGAATCTGTCTGACTATATCCATGCTATGTGAATGGTGACATCCAGTCTTTTAAAAAAATTTGCTGGGCAGTGGTGGCGCACACCTTCAATCCCAGCACTTGGAAGGCAAGAGGCAGGTGGATCTCTGTGAGTTCAAGGCCAGACTGTTCTACAGAGCAAGTTCCAGGACAGCCAGGGAAACAAAGAGAAACCCTATCTCAAAAACAAACAAACAAACAAATAAGATTTGTTTTATATGTATAAGTCTTTTGTGTGCATATATGCATGTGTACCACGTGCACGCCTACTGCCCACAGAGCTCAAAAGAGGCAGCCAGGTCTCCCGGAACTGGAGTTACACAGAGCGGGTGGATCCTCTGCAAGAGCAGCAAGTACTCTGAACCACTGCACCATCTCTCCGGGCTGAAACCTCTGCTCTGGAGGGTGACACCCAGGTGGGTCACCGTTTGGCTCCCGCTCCTCTCTAGATCCACCTCCTCTGGTGCCCCCTCCCTTCCTCTACCACGCCATCAAGTCTTACAGAGTGCTGGGCACCCATGTAGCCTGAGACCGCTCACTCCTGAGATTGTAGTAACTGTGACCTGACTAAACAAATGAGCAGTCACAGGCTCTTAGACACACACCCTGGCCTGCAATGTGCAGCACCTGTCGGTCACGTTAGCTGAGAGGCTGGGTAAACAAATGGGTAAGACATGAGGATGTGAGTTTCCAGAGATGGGGCCCTGACGCCTATCAGGCTTTTGATGGAGCTGAAGCTCAGAAGTGAGGTGAAGCCAGGAGTCAAAATGAAGGCAGTGGTCAGACTAGAAGCCATTTTCTCTGCTTTAATGCCTTTTCATCAGACTTGCAATGCTCCAGGATAGAAAGCCAATCTCATCTGGTCTATATGCCCTATCACCCCTCTACACACACCTCTCAGTCGCCCACAAATTCCTATTTGAAATCCTAGTCTCCAAGGTAATGGTATAGCCAAGTAGGGCTTTGTAGAGCGATTAGGTCTTGAGGATGCAGCTCTGTAGCATCTTACACAAGGCCTGAGACCCTAGCTCCTTCTACCGTGGGAAGACCCAATGAGCCGAATCTCTCTCTACCCCAGGCTCAGTCTTCAGAACCGTTGGGAAAGATTCACTGCAGCTCTACTTACTCCAACAGTCCAAACACTTGCTTTATTGTCCGTTTTTTGGCTTTTGAAATAGGACCTAGCTTCCTGGAACACACTTGGATTAAGCTGGATTTGAATTTACAGACTTATGCCTGCCTCTGATCCTGAGTGCTGGGATCACAGGTCTGGGCTACCACACCAGGTACCCAAATACTTTCGAAACATCAAAATGAGTGCCTGGAACTTAAAAATATTCAAAGATATATAAGAAGTCTTGGTGCACAGCTTCTGAAACCCTGTCCAATAGGGAGCCAGTACAGATGTCCACTTGAAGACCCAGGCACCTTCAACATAAGTTTACCAAGTCTGGCTACTTAAACAAATGCCCTTAAGGATCCCCAACAGGGAGAAGGTCTACTCTATTAGCTCTAAAAACAAAATAAAACAAAGCTAATGAGTCTTCTTGCTCAGAGTTCAGCCTCTGATGGTGGCAGAGTTAATATAACCCATTTAGTTTCGTTTTACCCTGAGGCACAAGGACAAACTGCCTTTCCTAAGTGCGCTCTGGCTGGCAGGCTGGAAGGAAGAGATTTTCCCACCTCCTGGCCAGTCCATAAAATCTCTTACATCTTCCACGTCTGCACCATTCCACACCGACTATGGAGATGGAACTGGGGAAGAGCGCAAATGACAAGCGCCAGAGAGGCACAATCTCAAAACTACAGCCAACAGACTGCCTAGAAGGGCAAGACCGAGCTCTGGGATGAGTGACTGACTTCGTTTCCCGCTCCCAGCCACCCTATAAAGCCTGCTAACTGGAGAAAATGTGTAAGGCAGATCTTTCTTTAAAAGATGTTATCTATTACCTTCTCAAGTTGCAGGCTCTCTAAATAAAGCACAATTTAAAGATTCAATTCTGGGCCAGTGAAATGGCTCAGTGGGCAAAAACACTTGGTGCCATGGGAGTATCAGTCTCAAAGACTCACCCTGAGGAAGGAGAGAACTAGCTCCTCAAAAGTGCCCTCTGGGAGCTGGAGAGATGGCTCAGAGGTTAAAAGCACTGACTCTTCTTCCAGAGGTCCTGAGTTCAATTCCCAGCAACCACATGGTAGCTCACAGCCATCTGTAATGAGATCTAGTGTCCCCTTCTGACATGCAGGCAAACATGCAGACAGAACACTGTATACATAATAAATAAATCTTTTTTTAAAAAAAGTCCTCTGACTTATGCATATGCCCCCCCATCTCCATATACCACACAAGAATAAATAAAATGTAAAATAAAAAAATGTCAAGGTTCAATTTTTGTCTCTATTCCTTGGCCTCTGTGGTGATAGCAGCACAGTTCTGGTTTTCCAGTTTAATGGCCGGGCCAATCTTGCAGAGAAAATGGATCCTAAAACCACTCCAAAGAAGAGCTCCCTCTTCCCTCAAGTTACCTGAGTATACGCAAGAAATAGCCTACCTGTATGAAACTGGTGGACTGGGCCCTTCTTTGTTGCATCAGCTAGCAGTACCCACACTCACGCTCTGTGAACACGCTGGGAAATGACCTACCCATTCACCTGCTCGGAAGAACTACGGTAGGTGCTATTTACAGCTGAGAGAAGGAGTCACCTGTTGGACCATGAGCTTCTCAAATTCCTCCACAATCTCAGGCAAGCTAAGCCATTTGACTCCTGGTAAAAGCCCCAGGGCTTGGCTCCCGATCTTCATCAGCAGTAAATCCATGTACACCTGAGTGAGCAGGCCAGGGTGTAACACCTGCCAGACAGAACCAGGAGACAAGACAGAATCAGGAGACGGCATCTGACCTAGTAAGCACCGACTCCCACCATAGAAGAACCAGAGCCTCTCCTCAAAACAAGGGTAGTAACCCATGATGCTCCTGGGTGGTGGTCCCGCCACTCAAGATTTTGGAAATAGCAAAATCCAAGTCATTTTCCCCCTCCCTCAGACTATTCATACCACCCCACAAAGTCAGGAAATGAAACCAGGGTCTGTGGTGGAGGAAGACACCTTGAATTCCAGCACACACGAGGCGGAGGCAGGCAGAGCTCTGTGGTCCTCCACAGTGAGCTCTGGGGCTACCTAGGAAACAACTTGAGCCTGGAGGCCTAGCAGCACCAGAAACAACTTGAGCCTGGAGGCCTAGCAGCACCAGTGCTCCCTGATACTTGGGAGGGAAGAGTCATAGGTTCAAGACCTGTCTGAGAAACTAACTTCGCAAGGCCTTGTCTCCAAACAGAAAGTAGAATGAAGCTCAGTGGCCTAGCATGTGTGAACTAAATTTGATTCCATCCTAGGTTCAATCTTCACTACCACCAAGAGAGAGAGGGAGGGAGGGAGGGAGGGAGGGAGGGAGGGAGGGAGGGAGGGAACAGCTTGCATTTAACAAGCATTGACTGAGCTAACAAGAATACAGGTTGAGCAGCCTATATTCTAATCCAAAATCCAAAACTCAAAATGCTGCCGAATCTGAAACGTTTTAAGGACTGACCTAACACAAGGGAACAATCCCAAGCCTGACCTCAGATGATGGTTGAAGTCAGAATGAAGGTGCACTAGAAATACTGCAAGAGATAACTTGTCAGCTGCACGGATGGGTGTGTGCATATGTGTGTGTGATATAAATGAATTTCATATTTCATGTTTAGACGTGGCTCCTATACCAGGATAGCTCATCAGAGATGGGGCACACCACACTGGGGTTATGAGAGCACTTACTTTTACTGCCACTGGGACGAGGTGATCTGACTTAGGTGGGTGGCCAGGAACCTGAGGCGTGCTCCCTTCTGACCTAACAAGGTCAGCTTTAGGGAGAAGCAGCTTTTCTACAAATGCTTCATCGGCAAGGCTTTCCGAAGGCTTCCACTCCTTCTCAAAGGACCCTCCCAGCATCCAGACTGCCCCAGATCCTGAGGACAGCCATGGGACAGAGAGTTGCCCAAGTCTCCAGGCTCTGTCCTTCTCCAGCAAGGTAGTGCTAGCGAATGCTTTGTACACTTGGGCCACGCACCCTGAACCCACAGGCTCCTGGGTCTCGAAAAACAGGAGGCTGCCCCAATCCTCCCCAAATGCCTGCTGGAGTAGGCATTCCGTGTGGGCCCAAGGGTGGGGGGTCACCTGGACATGCAGCTTGGAGAACTGGGCACAGAAAGCCTCTGAAAAGAGATCGTGCCGGGTGCTGGCCCATTGGCCCAGTTTGATATATGTTGGCCCAGAGGTCTCTGTGGCTTTCAAAAGCAGATGGAGCCAGAGGGTGGAGAAGCCAGGAGCCAGGTAGGTGAGAGGGTACAAGAACAGCAGGGGGAAGAATTTCGCCAAGAGAATGCCAGCACGGAGCCCTAGACGGAGACACAGTAAGACGCGGCCCAGTGGCCCTGCTTGAGCCACTTCCACTCGTCCATTCTCAGCCAGGTCACTCCAGTGAGTCTTTCGCTGACACAAGGTGCCAGGAGACCCCTCTCCAATATCCCCATGGGCTGAGATAAATTTGGGCAAAGTACCCAGCAGAAACCAACATAGTCTGGCATTGCGAGAGCATCCCAGGGGTCTGGGAAGGCCAAGTTCCTTCCTGAACTCAAAGCATCTTAAGTGTGACAAGCAGACCCTGACAGACAAACGCCAGAGGGTCACCATTCTCCCCAGGCCCCCAGGCCTAGGCTGCTTGTCTTCTACTTAAGAAGCCATTTGTGGAGATGCTCCGGGAGAAGCTGGGGTAAATCGGGCCGCCCCCCACCCCCCACCAAGGGCCGCCGCCTAAGCCAGGCCAGGCCTGGGGCAGGTGGCGACCAGAGCCAGGGACCGCGGGTGACGCGGGGTCAGCACGCGCACGGGTCTGTGCGGAGCCAGACCGCAGAGTGCGGGGTGACACCGAGCGCCAGGGTCGGAGGTGCGGACCCGTGGCCTGCAGCAGACGGCGGAGCTTCAGAGAGCCGCAGGGAGGCGGGTGCACGGCCCAGGTCCCCGGGACGCGGCGAGGGTACGCGCACAGCCAACTGCTCCGGGACCAGCACCGAGCTGGGAGCCCCAGCCGGGCGCAGAGCACTCCGCGTCCTGGCCCGCGCCGCCCGCGGCTTCCGGTACCTGGCCCCGCCCTCTCCGCCCAGGACGCGCTCCTTAAAGGGACCGCGGCGGGCACCAAGGCAAGGCACACATTGAATGGCTTAGCGCAAAACACAGAAGCACCCTCTGTGACCCCCTTTTCAACGTGGCCCTCTCCTCTTCGGAGCTTCGTAGTTTAAACCCTAGAAATGTTAAACCGCCCGATGGATTGCTGGTGGGTCCACTGGGTGTGGGTCTTGGGTCCTGCACTGACTTAGCGGTGGTGTTTAGACCTTAGGGAATGACTTATACTTTTGACTAATACTTATTAAACCCAACCAGTCTTTCTTGAATTGATTCCAATATTTTATTGTTTCATAATAATATGTATTCAACGAGGTATTCTGTACTCTGGGTAGTAGACACATTCGTCCTGTGCTCACCCGCTTATTACTGGGAGAGTAGGTGAATAGCCAGGAACACGGTGCGATGGCTCGGTAGCCCGCTTACGGTGTTTGCTGTCAAGAGGTCACCGGTTCCTTTAAGTCGTGTCCCCCACATATAAAATAACTGTGATAAAAATAAAAGTGTAGCAAGGACCATGAAAGCAATGAGGAGCAGGTGGTACCAAGGACCCGGCTACTTTGGAGAAGAAATAAGGGTCTTGGGAGAGAAGTCGTAAAGAAAGCTCCAAAGTGGGAAAAGACTCTGTGTGTGTGTGTGTGTGTGTGTGTGTGTGT